GAAAAAGAACACTGCACCGCAGCTGAGAGAACTTGCCACTTATTCTACAGCTTCTTATCTTATTCCATGGTTGGTTAGAAAGCAAGAGTCAGACCCCCAAACTAGTGCAGTTTTCAGTGAGTGGCTTTTAAAAACTGATTTGAGGGTCTTGGCAAGGGCACTACTGTTGACTATCTGCTTGTTTCAAAGGTTGGCATCTGATGTCTTTGGAGAGGTTTTTGCTCCTTCTCTCCAAATGCCAGCCTTCTGTCCCTGAGATCCTGGTGGGCAGTTCTCCCATGATTAGAGTTCTCCCATGATTACAATCCAAAGAGGTTCTGTGCTTCTTGTAGACATCCTTACTCCTTAATGATTGCCATGTTAGTTTCATATGGCCCCTAATTTCAATAGCAAAAGGTTACACACTAGGCAGGATTTTTGTGCCTCTGACAAAGTGTGCAACTACCGTACAGCATTCTGGAGATGTTTCATGTCAGTCTTTTCTTTTTTCTTTTTTTGGGCAATGCTGGAGTATGACAGTCTTAATCTTGCTGGTCCTGCCACAGAACTGCTGGTCCAGGGGAGTACTTAGAACTTCAGGTTTCCCTGGAGGCCTAGGGCCATGCCCATTCTGTGGGTAGTGTTGTCAGTAGATACACAAACTGTGCCACCAGTCTGGTCCGCACTGTCACTCCATGGCTCAGAGCCCACACTGTTCTCTTCTGGTACTGGGACTTGTACAAGTTTCATAGAATAAAAGTCCTGCTGGATAGAACTTTCAGCTTTTCTCATTTTCTTGGAGATATATTCCAAAGTATATTATGTACATTAAAGTGTTGGAGCTTCTAAATAAAATGGATAAATTCATAGAAAAATATAAAATACTAAATACTCTTAAGAAGAAATAAGGAACTTAAATCAATTAGAAATTAGAAAAATGGAAGCTAAAATCTCTTCCCCTACTTGCCGAAGAAAAAAACCCAGGCCCAGTGGTTTTGCAGGTAAGTTTTACCAAACTTTCAAAGAATAGATGATTCCTATATTATGTAAAAAGTTCTCCCAGAAAATGAAAAAAAGAACAAGAGCTACTCGGCTCATTGTATTGAAGTTAATGTAATATTGACTCCAACAAAATAAGTATAAATAAAATTATAATCTCATTTCCTTTATGAAATAGTTGCAAAAAATCCTAAACAACATATTAATTAATGAATTATCAGTGTATTTTTTTAAGTGAATTACAATTGGGTGGGACTTGTAACAGGAATTCAAGCAAGAATTATCATGAAAAAATCTAATAATATAACATATGAATAGGGGAGATAATTATTGTCTCAATACAGAAAAAGCCTTTGATAAATTTTGATGCCTATTTGTAATTAAAAAAAATATATTGACAAACAAGGAGAAGAGTATACTTCCTTAAGCTGGTTATATACCAAAAACCTACAGTAAAGATTCTGCTTAATGGAGAAATTGTAGATAGGGTAGAGAATAAAACACTGCCTAGGGGCCTAGGGTTGTGGCTCAGTGGTAGAGCACTTGCCTAGCATGCATGAGGCACTGGGTTCTGGGTTCAATCCTCAGCACCACATAAAAAAAAATAAATAAATAAAGATATTGTGTCCACCTACAATTAAAAAATAAATATTAAAAAAAAACACTGCCTACCATCACTATCTATGGTTAACAGTACTGGAAGCACTGTCAATGCTCTAAAGAAAGAAAAAGAAACTAGAAGCATAAATTCTAGAAAGGGGGAGATAAATGGTCATTATTTTATCTACTTGGAAAAACCAACAGAGTCAACAGAACACTAAGATGAAAAAGAAAGTTCAACAAAGTTGCTGGATTCAAGATAAATGTTAAAAAATTTAATAGCATTTCTCTATAGCAGCCATAATCAACTAAAAATATAAGAATAAGATAGCATTTGTAATAGCAACAAAAGCTGTGGGCAATTTTTTGGTTTACTTAAGAATACACAGATGTTCATGGAGTAAATTATGAAACTAATAGGAGAGGATGGAAATAAAGGGAGAGATCAAGGAGGAAGCTACAGGGCCCTTCATAACCTCGTTTTGGGTTTGCCACTGGTGCTGTGCTGGTTCTGTTTGTTGGCAGCAATTCCTTTGTCTGGCTCTTGCTTAGGTGGGAGGGATTAGAGGACTCTGCAGGTAGAAGAGGAGACTTTGCACACATATTTTCAAACACCACTCCTCCTAACAAAAGAATGTACATCAAACACTGGAAAGATTGCATATGACAGGGGAGAATAATGAGAATGCAATAGAAGGGAATGGAAGGAAGGACGAGAGGGAGGAAGGCTGACTTTTGTATACCAAAAACAACAGTGTGCCATGAATTGATGTAGATGTTTAATTTTCTGCCCTGGAATGAAAAAAAAAATTAGCGTCCATCTTTTCAGTCTCCTTACTATACATTTACATAGCACATAACCTTAACACACATCTTTTGGTTTCTGGTGGGTTTTTTTACAGGCTAGGATCTTTTTATTTTATTATAAGTTATTTATATGCAGTGCTGAGAATCGAACCCAGTGCCCTGCACATGCCTATAACCCCAGTCCCCAGGCTAGGATCTTATTATACATATTGATCTACTATTAGGTTTTCTCATTTAACCTTGTATCCTAGAGAGTTTTTTCATGTCACTGTAAATACAGAGGTTTGTCTGATTTGTTTTATTACTACACATTATTCCATAGTGTGGATACACCAGGAATATAATTGATCAATTTCCTACTGATGGACATTCAGGTTAGTTTTACTTATCTTTCTTTTTTCCTTTCTCTCTGTTGGCTGGATGGGTCTTTCACTATATGAGCATCCAAATTTGTACTTTACTTATTTTGTCTCCCCTGGACTTCAAGACTAAGGGACCAGGAACATGCAAGATGGATTCTGCTGTAGGCAGAGTTTGTTACTTGAGGACAGGCAGGGCCACTGTGGCAGATTTTCTATGGTTCAGCAACTCAACCAGGGTCCTAGTCTTTGCCTTCAAAGACCTCATGTTTAGCAAAAGGCAGACGTGTGAGTGACCCATGGGAGGCAGAACAGCATACAGGGAGGGGAAGCCTCCTGTCTCACTAACTGCGCCCGTTTTTCATCCTAGCCCACCACTCACTGGATTTGACACTGAGCAAGTTATTTCACCTTCCCAAAATCTTAGTTTCCCTACATCTAAAATGACTATTTTTTTTTTCTCATAGGGCTCTGATAAACAAGAGGATACATATAACGTTCCTGGCACATAGTGATCTGTGAACATTGAGTTTTCAGGAAACTAGCCAATCAGGTGGGGACACAGGTTCTCTGAGGTCTTAAGTCCTCATAAATGAAGAGCAGAGCCCTGAAGAATGGGCAGCATTCCCCTGGCAGAGCTGGAGGAAAGCATTTTAGTGCACAGAAAGGTAGAAGTGAAAGTCCTGAGTTGGAAATGGGAGGCGTGTTTGGGGGTGGGGAGTAGTGTCCTGTGGCTGGCTGGAGGGACACATTCATTAACCAGAGGAGGAAAGGCCTTTCTAGGATGTATGCAGGTGGTCTTCTGGCACAGAGGACAGAAATCCAGGACACCTCCAGGGACTTGTGCCTCAAAGCTGAAGCTGCAGATCCACCACAAGACCACCGTTGGGGTCAGCCATGACCCCAACCTCATCCCTTCCCTCATCCTCCTGCCTTCTTCAGCATGGGCCTCCTCCCAGGCTTGGCCACTCCCAGCATTCAGCACCCCCACCTCTCAGCAGGGTTGGGAGGCAGGCGGAGGATTTTCGCGGGGGCTGTGCTGGGTGGGCAGTTTTCCCAGAAGAAGGAGCGAAGCTAGACTGAGTTGGCGCCAGCTTCCTCAGATGTAGACATCGCTGGCTGAATGGCCAGCCTGCCCCAGCGAGCTTGAACTCAAGGACTCCCTCAGGCCCTGTGTTCCTGCTCTGAGGGTGCAGTCCTGTACCTCAGGGGAGTGGCATGCCACAGAGGGAGGCCAGAGGGGCACCAGCAATGCCAGGATTGGGGCATAGCCGGGTTAAGGCCAAAGCACGGTTGCTGCCAGGCACCAACAGGAAGAGGAGCCGCCTTAGCAGGACAAGGCAGGACCTGTGGGAAGAGCCCAGCTGGAGTGACCAAAGATGGTGCAGATCTTCCCCTACCCCTCGAGGGGCCAGAGCTAGAAGCCCGGCTGGTGGCAGGGTAAGGAAATCCTGGTCCAATAGAGGGAGCCCTGGGGAGGCAGGGGTTGGAAGGCAATGAGCCTCACTCCATGATATTGTTCCTGCCCAAGAGTAAGGACATGAGCCCCTGAGACTCCTCAGAGCCCTGTGGGGCTGATTGGAATGAATCAGAGCTGGTCTTAACCAGAGCATAGCTCAGAGAGTTCCCTTCACTTCTCTGAAGGAAACTGAGGACCAGAGGAGGGATGTGAATTACCCAATGTCCCCAAACAGCAGGGATGGGACCTGGTTAGTTTGTTGTGACCCCTGGTTTGTCGTCCCTACCCCTTTACCACAGCAGCCTCTTCATCTCAAGACCTGGCTGGGTCAAGGGTCAGCCCTACTGAGAAGGGTGTGGCTCTGTGTCCCCCCTGGGCCCAAGGGCACCCCAATAAGCAGGATTCAAATTGGGGAGTAATGGAGAGAACCCTGGACGCTTGGGTTCTGAGTCAAGCTTTGCCACCTGCTGCCATCTGACTCTAGCCCAGGCCTTCCCACAGCTATAAAACAGGGCGGGGCAGAGAACCACAAAGGTGGGCTGAGGTCTATCAGTTTTTGCTGTTCAGCACCCACTACTGCAGTAGGATTTCTAGAATGCTTTTGAAGCCAGGGTTGATGGGGGTTCGGGGCCAGACCTACTCACTGGTGCCCTCTGTGCAGAGTGAGGCCAGTCCTGAGAATGCAGCACGGGAGCGGAGCCGAGTAAGGACGCTGCGCCAGGCCTTCCTGGCCCTGCAGGCTGCTCTGCCTGCCGTGCCGCCTGACACCAAGCTCTCCAAGTTGGATGTGCTGGTGCTGGCCACCAGCTACATTGCTCATCTCACCCGCACTCTTGGCCATGAGCTGCCCAGCCCTGCCTGGCCACCCTTCCTGCGTGGACTCCGCCACTTGCACCCTCTCAAGGTATATCATAGGCCCAGGGACATGGCTGGGGAGATCTCTGCTCAAGACCCTGAGGCAAGGTAGAGTAAAGGCGGGGGCACTGGATTGGGGCCCCTGCTGTGGGCAAAGCTGACATCAGGGTCAGTTTTTCCTGCTGTTGCAGAGGGAAAAGACTCAAGACTGGCTCTTGGGGTGGGACCAACCCTGTATTTCTCATGGGGTGGTGACTGGGAATGTGGTTCCTCCAAGAAGAAGGAAAGACTCTGGGGGTTCTTAGTGTCAAAGGGAAAAAGGAGCATGTCCTAGGGCCGGGGCTTGGGGAAGCAAATGGCACCCAGGAAAGTCTTTGATCATCATGCGGCTTTACACCTTGCACAGTACTGACCTCAGTGTCCTCTGAACTCCTGTTGCAGGAGAGAGCCACTCTTTGGGACAATCAAGTGGGGGGCAATAGTGCAGCATGCACTGTTTGCCATACTGTCACCTAGCTTTCCTGAACCTCAGCTTTATTCTATGTGAAATAGAAGCTAACAGGAGCTTGCTTTCTCCTCTTGAATACAAAATAAGATTATGAATGATAAGTATAATTAATGATAATCGCCATTGCCATGACAGACAACATGGCTGAGGTGCTAAAGCTATGCCAGGAGCTAGGCTAAGTGCTCTAGCATGCTCTTATCTCTTGACCTGTGCAAGAACAAAATGAAGATTACAGATGAGGAAGCAGAAGGAGGGCAAGAGACTGGGTGTGGTTTGAGTCCAAGGGAGTCTAATTCCAGACACCTTGCTCACAGTCCCTGAGCAGGCCCCAGGATGGCACCGTAAGGAGCCGGTTGAGAAGCACACTTTGCTCTCTGAGGAAAACATCGTAAGGGGTCAACTTTATTTTTATGGAGGATACTTTCCACCCTCTCTCCCCTAAATATCATGGTCCTGAAATATCTTGAAACTTGAGGTCTTTCTTTCTTTCTTGCAAATCTAGCTAGCCTGCAAGATTCAGAAACAAAATGGTACAACTCCAAAATGCTAAAGGTGGCACCTGGTGCAGGGTTCTGAGATGACAACAGGATCCTTCACTGTAAAATGGTGACCAAGTTAAGGCCTTTGCATGTAGTAGATAAATATATTAAAGAATGAAGACCTGGTTAGGTCTAGAACAATCTGGCAGATTGGTGAGGAAGGGAGGTGAGCCAGAGAGAAGCACCCTGTGTCCCTAGTGGGAAGGGCTGTTAGAGAGGAGGGGCTGAGTCAACGTGGAGTTTTTTAGGACTGCTTGCTCCTGCTGGAAGAAGTGAAAATGCCTGGAGGACCCCAGGTGAGAGGGAGTTCTTCCTGCCCACCAGAGGGGGCCCTTGATCTCCTCAGCCAGCTCCTCCTGTGTCTCTTGGCCAGACTCAGGGTATCTGGAAAATGTGTGGGATCCCTGGCGTCAGAGCTGTGATGCCTGGGGGAAGGCATGAGGCAGGGGTGCTAGAGAAGGAGAAGCTTCAGGTGTTAAGGATTCTGGACAATGAAGGGCAGCAGAGTCACTCACCACCCATCCCGTGTCTTACAGAAGTGGCCCATGCGATCTCGTCTCTATGCTGGAGGTCTGGGATGCTCTGGCCTCGACTTCACCACAGCCATTGCCTCCTGCCAAAGAATGAGGGATGAAGAGATGGGGTCTCAAGTCTCTGGAGAGGCAGATGTTCTCCTTCGTACCAGGCCACCCTCACCAGCTCTTGGTGACAAATGACTACTATCACACTCATCCTGTTCTCCTAGACCATGCTTAGGAACCTGAGTTTTCTACCAGCGCCTACCCATCTTCTCTCTAACTCTCAGCCATTGGATTTGACTCTGGCTCAACTTCCAAGGTCTAGTCTGCAGACTAAGTGAAGCAGCGGTGGAGAGTTCCCAGGGAGCACAGAATAGAGAGCCTCACCCTTGGCTCTTCTGTGGCAGCTACAAGGAAGTGGGCGAAGAATGGGTTTGACTTGGTTCAAAGTCAAGTGAGGCACCACCCCTCCTTTCTCTCCCCTAAGGCTCCTACAAATCTTCTGCACACAGGTAGAAGACAAAAATCATGGCGCAGATGCAGAAGGAGGGGCCAAGATGGCAGCTGCCACAGGTGCTGATGGGAAAGCCAGGGGGCTTCATAGGTTCTTGGTAGCTTTAAGTGTGAAAAGACCTAGGCCCGTGTCACATAGCCAGAGGGAAAACAGAAGAAAGAAATATGCTTTTTTTATATGGCACTGTGAGATGATTACCCAACGTCAAAGAGGCAGTGAGGAATTTAGGATTCTTGTCTCTGGATGCTGTGTCTCTCCAGCTGTCCCTCATCACTACATTTTCTCCTTCTCTGGGTTTTGCATCCTTCCACTGTTTCTGTTTTGACATGAGTTATATCTACAGGTTAAGACATAAAGCTTACATTGCTTACGTTCCAGTTTCTGGAGAAAGTTTTAGATAGTCCCAGCTGTTTAGTTTGAGATCTTATCCCAGAGGCAACTCCGTCTTAACGGAACCAGGCAACCATTCAAGGCCCTGCCTATGCAGGATGCTGATATGCCCATTTAAATCCTCAAAGGACCTTAAAAAAAGAATGTGTATCAACCCCCTTTCCAGGGGTCGATCCTTACAGTCTCCTCTTTCCATTATGTCAGAAACCTTACCTCAAAGGAAAACAAGACAGGCCCAGGGTCAGCGGGTTCCCAGTGCTGTTATTGTCTGAGGTTTCATTGACTCTGGAGTTATTTCTACAATCAGTCTGTAAATTAGCTCCCTAGGCCAGATTCTCCCACAACCATCATCCCACCAGGCTGTCCCTAAGTCCTGTCTTGAGATGCCAGAAATGTGATAGCTCTGTAATAGAATTCATCACTGGTCCCGAAGAAATAATTTGAAGACTAATCACAGAGTCTACATACAGAGATGCACTTTCTAGGTCAGATGAAGCTTCAAAGCCAGCACCTGAAGTGCAGGCAGGGAAGGAACCAACTTTTTGATAAATTTCAGCATGTAGGCAGACTTAAGTCCCAACAGGGTATGGTTAGTTGCAAGCCATCACTGTCCTCATGAGTGTAAAGTTCTGGGGCGGCTGGGAAGAACTGGGGTCGGTCCTCCTCAGAGCTAGCTGGGAGCAGGGAATAGGGGGCAGGAGTGACTCAGCAAGCTGGGGTGGAGGTAGGAAAGGAGACACAGTACGTCCCAGCCTGAGCCACATGGGATGTGGGAGCAGCTGGACTGTGGCAGGGAGCCATGGGAGGAGGCCTCAGCCAAGGCTGAACACATAAATCTGCCTGGAACCCTGTCTCTGCTGAGAATCCTGCAGAGCTTGTGCAGAGCTGCTTCTGGGCAGCTAGACGGGGCCAGGCAGGGCAGAGACCAGGTGTGGGAGGGCGAGAGCAGTGTTCTTCACAAGACCATAAAAGTCCAGCTTGAGTGTTCTATTTTTAAAGCTGAATAGCAGCATCTCCCTGGTTGAGTTGGAGGGGGTAAGAAAGGTCTCCGATGAATTTCCTCCTGAAGAGTGGCACACAGTCTCTTTCTGGGCATGAAGGAACTGGCTTTGGAGTTTTATTCTGGGGTTCCCTGAGACCCTGGAACTTCTAATAACTGAGTAGACTTTGATCTGGAGTTTTCCCTGCCCCCACCTGGCTCGGACTCAAGCCTTTGCCTCATATCATCAGACTCTGGGTGACCATGTCACCCTGGTATAGAAGACAAAGAGGGCAAAGGGGTGAACCTGGTGAGTCTGAAGAAGGGCAGGTTCCATCAGGACAGTTTCTAAGGCTGTCTCAAGCCCTTTCTAGGCAAAGTTGTTTTCCTTTGTGCCCAGGACAATCCTCTGTGGTCTGGGGGTCATCTTCCTCAGCTGGACACCCAACACAGTCAGGCCAGGGAGCCAAAGGAATGCTCAGAGGATGACTGTCCTTGCCCTCCGTGATGAGATGATGCTGGCCTTGAGGAATATCAGGTTGCAGACCAGAATCCATGAACCACCCAGAACCAGGTGTAGCCCCTTTGCCTCTGCAGCAGAGCAGATGGTGTTTATTCTAGAAGCTAGGGAGCATGGGTGAATGAAGTGCTGGAGGCAGCAGAGGCAGCTGAGATCCAGGCCCAGAAGATTTTGTTCCCTAACAGCAAAGGTATGCAGGAAAGAAGCTGCTATGTTCTAATAAAGCCCACTTGTTTAAGTATTATTTATGGCTGCCTTCCTGATACCAAAGCAGAGTTGACTAACAGAGACAGACTGAAAAGCCTAAAATACTTACTCTCTGACCCTTACAGAAACAGACTGCTGACCTCTGCTCTATCAGGTATCAAAGGTATCAGGGGTATTCAAAATCTGTTCTGGAAACCTTGGGGGGCCAAATATATTTTTATAATATAAGATGCTATTTACCGGCTGGGGTTGTGGCTCAGTGGTAGAGCACTTGCCTGGCATGTGTGAGGCACTGGGTTCAATTCTCAGCCCCACATATAAATAAGTAAAGGTCCATCAACAACTAAAAAACAAAATTTAAATAAAGGATGCTATTTACCATTTTTTACTCTTATTCTGTCATGGTGTAGTGGAATTTTCCAGAAGCTATACAACATGTGATATTGCAACAGATGGAATGGAGAGACATATAGGAGAATCCAGCTATTAAGAAAGACACTAAAGATATTTGCAAAAATATAAAAATATTTCTCACTAAATATTTCCAACAAGGAAAATAATTATATTTCATTAAAATGTTATATATGTATATTGACATAGAATGGATTAATGGTCATGTTATTTTAAAATAAATATTTTTAACTCTCTATTTTAATTTCTAACATGGTAACTATCAACAGGTACAGAATAAAAAAAAAAACTCTTTGTTTGGGGTTTTACTTTCTTGAGAGTGCAAAGGAGTCCTGAGACCAAAAGTTACAGAATCTGGGCTCTAGAATAAATTGATGACAGTTAAGAAAGCTCTCTCCCAGGTCCTATATCCTGAACCATCACAGCCCTACCTTCTGGCCACAGCAGACACAGTAGATTGGTCCTGTCCTTAGAAAGGCAGAGGTCTCTGGGCACAGGGAGCAGTTGGTGGTGAGGATAGAAGCTGGTGGCCTTTTGAGTCCCCACAGGGAGGTCTCTTGGAGAACAAAAGTGGGGCTGCTGCCCTGGTGGGCTGAGCCATCCTGAGCCATCTCCTCCTTGTCTCTGCTGTCCCACAGCACTCCATTCATCTTCTTCTCTGGAAACAGGTCACAGTCTGTGGGGACATCCTGGGAACATGCAGAGCAAAGACAGTGGAGCTGGTAAGAGTGGGCAAGGGTGGTGAAGGGACACATGTAGGAAAGCTTGGGCCCCGCTAGAAGGGAGCCCAGCCAGGCCAGTGGGGGAGCAGGGGAGGAGAGGGAGGAGCACAGTGCAGAGCAGGAGTGGGATAGGGCAGCAGAAAGGCCAGGCTGAGCTGAGCTGATCCCCGAGCCAGCCCAGCCTTGTGGAAGGGCAGCTGCTGGGGACAGTCCCTGTTTAGGCACATGACTAGAAAAAGGAACACTGGAGAGAGGGGATAGAAAAGGGGATAGGAGGGGACCTGGGAGGCAAGTGGCATCTGCAGACAAGAGAAGTAGGTCATGTGACAATGGGTCCCACCTGGCTGTGGCTTCTGCAGCAAAGCGGCTTCTGACAGGACAAGGGCAGGAGGGAGAGGAATCTCAGCAGCACACAATAATGGTCCAAGATCCAGGGGTTGGCCCTGCGTGCCCCCAAAGGCAAAGGAATTTGTGAGTGACCTCTGGAGAATGTTCCAAGTCCTCAAAGCAAGTCCTCAAAGCAAGTCCTTGGCTGTCCCTTCAGCAGAGGTCTCAGCCCTCTCCCACCTCTGGGACCTCTGCTGGGAAGCCTGGCTGTTACCTACAGCCAAGGGCTCTGAGGGGCAGAGTCCTTCCTCCCCGACTTCAGAGTTCCTGAAAGCCCCCCAGCCCCTCCTCACTGGTGATCCCCCACCCTCAATGGTAAGCAGACCCCCCTCAAACTCCCACACCAGCAAGTGGCCTCAAAAAAAAAAAACAAAAACAAAACACTATTGTTCCTGCTTTGTTGAGGGGCCCTCAGTGAGATAAGACAGAAGAAATAAAAGAATAGGTAGAAAGGAAACCTAAAAGAAAGGCAAGGACATATAATTTGAATTTAAAGTTCCATATATTTTCCAGACCTGGCACTTCCCAAAGCAGTCTCTCTATCTATATCATCCTGAGAATGACCAGACCACCATAAGCCCCCTCGAGATCACCAGACTGATGTCATTCCCATGTCTTCCCATATGATTTCTCACCAGGTTTATTTTCTTTCTTTCTTTCTTTCTCTCTTTCTTTCTTTCTTTCTTTCTTTCTTTCTTTCTTTCTTTCTTTCTTTCCTTCTTTCCTTCTTTTTTCCTTTCTTTTCTTTCTTTCTTTCTTTCTAATATTTTTTAGTTGTAGATGGATATCATACCTTTACTTTATTATTATTATTATTATTATTATTATTTTAATAATCAAACTCAGTGCCTCACATGTGCTAGGCAAGCACTCTACTACTGAGCTCTTCAACCCCAGCCCCCAGGTTTTCTTTAAAAGGGGAGTTGGTGATGGCCCACGTTTTCCCTTGATTGTGTATTCCTTGCTTTCCTAAATAAACCTGTGCTTCCATTGACATGGGCTGAAATTTCATCACATGTGTCAAAGACCCCACTTGTCCTGAATTGAGTTTCTTGCTCTCCGGGAACTCTGAGGGACCCTCTCCTGAAGCTATCTCTTCTCCCAGGACATGGGGAGTAAACATCTCTCTCTTCTTGGTTGAGCCTGAGTTTGATCCTTTTCCCTGCTGTCACATCCAGGCTGGCTTGGGAAGGTGAGGATGCTGCCTCCTTGTGGGGCCGGAGTCCCTGACCCAGCAGGTGATCAGCTGCCTGACAGTGAAACAGAGGACCAGAGCCAGCTCCAAGGTTAAGAGTACCCTCCAGATGATACTATGACCAGCCAGTTAGGTTATCAGTGGGGACAGAAGCAGTAACTCAAAACCAGCCTCATTAACTACATTGACAAGTTATGAAGGGATGGAGACAACTGTTTTTTTTTTAACTTAAAAAAACTACAAAAAAAAAAAGTGATCCAGGAATCAAAATAGAAATAGTTAAGGATGATAGGAGGTGAAAAAAACAAGTTGCATAAATCAAGCTGGCCTAAATAACTTGACAGTTGTATTGAAGCTTTGGTGGTTCAAAACCTCTGGGTTGGGTCCAAGTTGGATGAAAGTAAATTCCGTATCCACATCCCAGAAACCACAGCTAACTTCATGGTGACTAGCTGAGCCCCTGGAACTCTTGAGATCCTTTTGAAAATACAGGTACCCTCTTCTCATACACCCTTTGAAATGAGGTGTTGTGAGGGAGCCACCAAAATGACACAACAGGTGAGTATAAAACCATTAAAATCTTAATACACCCTGAGAAGTACAGCCAGAAGTTGAAACAAAACTCATTCATAACACTGAAGTGTAGGGATAGATGCTCCTCGACTTATGATGGGATTACATCCAGACTAAATTAATCAGAAGGTGAAAATCTCATAAACTGAAAATATATTGAATACACCTAGTCTATCAGATATCACACATAGAGTAGCAGTTGTTCCCCTTGGAAATTGTATGGTTGACTGGGAGATGTGACAAACTGTGGAACCTCATACCACTAGCCAAAGAAAAGATCAAAATTCAAATATGGTTTCTACTGAATTTGTATTTCTTTCATACCACTGCTAAGTGGAATCATCATAAGTCAGGCATCATCTGTAATCAAAAAGGCATATATCAACAAAATGTATTAAAAGGGCTGGGGTGTAGCTCAGGGGTACATTGCTTGCCTTGCATGTGCAAGGCCCTGGGTTCACTCCCCAACACAGAAAAAAAAATCCTTTAGAATATATTAACCCCCCCAACATACACTCAGAGCAATAAGAGATCTAAAATCAAACAGTAAATGGGCTAGAAATGTAACCAAGCATCCTTCTAAAAAGAACTCCAAATGGCAAAAGATGCTCAATTTCATTAGTAGTTAGAAAAATGCAAATTGAAATCACTAGATTCCACAAAACACCCACTAGAACATGTAATGTCTGTATCTATTAAATCCAGTAAGTTCACTCCAAAGTATGAAACCCCCCCAAAATGAGTGCACAATTCATCAAAAATATATATGAGAATGCTCATAATAGCATTGATTATAATAGCCCAAACTAGAGTTCTGTGTTAGCTTCCCATGGCTGCTGGGGCTAGGATTCTGCTAACCACTTTCTTCTTTGCTAGCGGACACCTGGCTAAGTTCTGCCAACAGAGGGCGCTAGAGGAAGCCTTTCAGACAAGAGGAGGAGGAGGAGGGACTGCTTGCCAGAGCTTCCAGAGCCTGAAGTGTCAGGGAGGTGAAGCTCTTCGTCCCTGCAGTTGCACTTCCAGTTTTTTCTCATGCTCAGAACCAGTGTTTATTGTGCCCCTTACAGATGCCGGCAACAGCTGTTACCGCACTCTTTCCTCTGAAGTCTGGGTTCCACCTCTGCGGGGCCCCTCCTCCAAAGTTTTAGGTTCCAGTAACTGTCACCTCATCCCCTTACTACCTCTACTTGCACTTGCTTCCTTCAGCTGCCACCTCTGTTTCCTTGGCATTTTCCTTTTGCCTTTTCAGTTCTTATAATAAACTACCTCTGTTAAAGTAACTGGTGCAGTTTTTATGTTCCTAATTGGACCATGATGGATAGAAGAACCAGGTTAAGATTTTGTGGAAATCTGACCTGCCTCCTGACCAGAAAAACATGAAATATCGCTCCCCTTTTAAACAGGGAAACTGACCACTGCAATAAAGTCTACAGAGTCTGTACAGCCTTGCTTGGTTTGTTGTCCAGTGTCTTGGCATAGTTACATAAATAAACCAGGGTCACAGGGAGTGGAGCATGGTGGGTGTGACTGGCTGCCATGCGAACAACTGGGGTCACACCATCTTTATGAATGTTATCTGGCTGAACACTTCTCCATACACACACACTCCTATGAAGGTCTATGGGGGGAAAACAGCATCTTTTCTAAAGTTTTCATGATCCTAAGTTGTTACAGTAACTGGATCAACAACACCCAACTCCAGAGGCCCCTTGCCATTAAATGGTGCATTTAGTAACACCATCGTAAGGGTTGATTCATTCATCAGATTATAAATGCGTACAGAGATTGCCTCAGCAAACTAACAAGAAAGTTATGCAATTGGAAGGCAAAAAGTTTTGTAATATGCAAGGAAAATTATATACCACGAAGGATGTTGGTGGGGAGGAGTGGGGGAGAGGGTGGACTAGGTTTATAATAATTCACAACGATTGGTATATAATTTTCCTAACCCAGTTAAATACATCCCTCCATAGTTCCCACCATTTAAATCTGTGTCTAAATAAAGCAAAAGTACAAAAACTGCTTATTTTAAGTTCTATTTTTATTTACACTCAGAACCAGAATGTTATCTTAAGATTTCCCTAATGTATAAATTTTAGATTGTGCCAATCTAATCTAGAGGTACTAGATAGGGCAAAAATGAACAGAAGTTTTCTCTGAGTCCCTTCAGATGACATGTTTTATCAGCCCAGTTGTATTCTGTGAGCCAGTTTTCTGATTTAAAAAGAGAGAGTGTGTGTGAGACCCCTTTAGCTCCCTGAAGGCACTAAGAAATTCTATTCAGTCTGGAACTTGGTGGTCTCTATTCCTGGGCAGAATGGCCTTTATTATCCAGAATAGCCCGCTGCTGGATGTCTCATCTTTGTGTTGTCAAATGTATTCAGCAGGCATTCGTAACTGAGGCAGTGGTGCAGGTGGTCATCTCCAGATTCTAAGTGGATGTCCCCTTGGGTCCTGGCTGTATGGCCTGGCTGTCATATCCCTCTCAGGAAAAACAAGTGTTAGGTGCTCCTTCTTTGCTTTAAGGATTCATGTGAATTTCTCTGAAGTGACGTGGCACTGAACTCCATGCTACTGACACAGTTAAATTAGTCGTTAGTCTTATGAGGTTAAGTCATGCCAGAAACTTGGGAGTTAAAAGTAGATCAGTCTTCATGACCGTGAAGTTAAGATAACACACCAGGAGACGAGAGGTTGGAAAGTCAGCTCAGCCTTCCAAGACTGTGTGGTCAGCAAATATACCAGGAAGCCAGGACCAAGGAAAACACAGCAATTAACCCAGTTATGGATCAGGTCCACTAAGACAGAAGGATAGCCTGCCTGCTGTGAGACGATATTAGCCTTCTCTAAAACAATATTAGGATTTCCCCCCAAGAACAAAAGGCAAGCATACGTGTAGAACAGTCACTGAGGTATCTATAGTTACTTTACCCTATTAGCATAGTGAAACTCACACCGGAGGTAGACTCTGAGATAATAATGGGACGCACAGGACTTGAAGAGGCAGCAGAAAGAAAAGCGCAGATGTGGCTGAAACTCTTATCTCCGCCTGGGGCAACAGGGAGAGACCTTGTCCTGGCCTGCCTTAGAAGCACTCTAAGGCTACACTTTCTGTCCTTTGTTTGAGCCAGCCTGGGACTTCTGTCACCCACAAGGAGGCTCCTTTGTGCTCAAGCATAGGAATAAAATGTCTTGTTCCTGCGCCAATGTGACTTTACCTGATTCTTCCAATGGAAAGCCAACAGCCCATAACATTGCCAACACCTCTTACATGGGAAAGGGGAATCCAGTCTCTCCTGCTTGCTAAGAGTGTGGCAGAGGCCCCCATTCGAAGGTAGCTACAGTCCTCAGAGATGATAGCTGGGTACCTCTTACAACTCGTCAGTGGACTCCATTAAAGACAGACGAAAATGCAGGGGTGGGAAGACACTGTGTGAATGCACCCTTGACCCACCGCCCTTCCCAACGCCCTCACAGGAGTCATGAAACAACCACAGTGAGTATTTAACAGAGCTTCAGGCCATGATTTCTCTTGGGATCCACAGAGGCAAGACCATGTGGAACTTTCTGCTTTATGACCCTGGACATGAACACCAGGATCATGGTGGAGAGAAGTCTTCTTCTCCTGAAGCTTGGGATAAAGACTGTCAACTTGAGGAGCCCTGCAGGAACTCACTTGTCAGGCCCAGTGGATCCTCCTGAAGAGGAACCCAGGCCTGCCCCACCCATTGTTGAGTCTTGGAAGCATCACCCCATGCTAACAGATAGACACGGAGAAGGGCTGCTCCAGAAGACACACCCTTTCTGCACACACGCACTCAGTGTGGCCTCCTTCTTCTAGTGGAGGGTCAAGGGTGGGCATATTTGTGGCTGCAGTCCACTAGGAGAAAATGGGCATCTTCTAATTCCTGGTGTGTCACCTTGGTCCAAGAGACCCTGGCAGCCTGTCCTGAATGGGAACATCCAACCATTATTGGTTAAAGAAAACTACCTAAATAACTCAATACTCTGAAGAAGGGAAACTAAGCCAAATACTGGTTTCTAATGACATAGAGCCAAGGCAAGTAACAGACTTAATAAAAAGTAGTACCAGCAACTGGCACACTAAAAAGACTTTCCTCCCCTGCACCAAACCCTTTTATAGCAATAATAGCTCACCATTATCTCCCCACTAAGCCCACAGGGGTGTTTGAAAGGGGCTAACTACACCCCACATCTAGGCTTAAGCCCTCGATTCACTTTATTCTGAGGGAGACAAACCTAGGATTTTGTGGTCAGGGAATGAAAAGGTCCCCATCTTACTCTCCACTGCTGCTTTCCAAGCATTTCTTCTACCTCCAATTTCAAAAGCACCAGGAGCATCTCCCCCACTTTTTTTTTTCAATGCTGGGGAAGGAACCCAGGGCTTTTTGCATGCCAGATGAGCACTCTACCACTGAGCTACAACCCTATCCTGGTACCAACGGCTTTAAAGTTTCTACCAACTGATCTGTCCCGCAATATTCTTTTTTTGGTGGTAACTTCTACTAATCATTCTCTGTCCTTCACTGAAGACTTGAGCAACAAAAGTGTCCTCTATTGTTACCGTTTCCATGTCTCTGCCCTCTCACTCCAGGTCCCATCTCCACCTCACTTCTAAAACTGCATTGGTGAGATCATTGACGGCTGCCTTTTCCCCAAATCTCATGTTGATTTTGTTCTCTCTCTCTCTCTCTCTCTCTCTCTCTCTGTATTGGGGAGTGAACTCAGGGTGCTTTACCACTGAGCCACATCCCCAGCCATTTTTATTTTGAGATAGGGTCTCAACAAAGTTGCTTAGGGTCTTCCTAAGTTGCTGAGGCTGGTCTTGAACTCACGATCCTCCTGCCTCAGACTCCCAAATCACTGGAATTACAGGTGCATACCATTGCTCCCATTGATTTCTGTGGTTTCATTATGCTGACTTTTTTTTGTTTTGTTTTGTTTTTTCTTTTTAGCATCATTTACTCTTGACCACTGATCCTTCTTAAAATGCTCCCATTCTTTAGGCTCCTCACTGGTTGTTCCTTCTGAGTCTTCTTCCTGGCTCCTCCTCTACTTCTATTCTACTTCTAAATGTGAAAATAGCATAGAGAAACTGAATAAGGAGAAATTCATGATAAGCAAAGGCAAAAGGCAGATGACAACTGTATGATGGTATTTGCAGCTCAGGTCAGGGACACAGAGGGAATCTCCCTGATATTTGAAGAGCTCCTAAAAACAATCAGAAAACCACCAATAACCTGATAGAAAAATGGAGAGACACAGAGATTAGGAAAAGGATTCAAATGGCCATTAAACAATACAAAGAGGCCAGCTTATTCATCAAAAAGAGAAATATAGATCAAAATAACACTGAAATACCATTTTCACTTGTCATATGGTTAAAGATCCAAAATTTGACAACATGCTCTGTGGGAAAAGGTCTCAACTATTGCTGTGAAATTATCATGAACAGATCTCTGAGATATTTTTAAATGAATTAGGAGAACAAAATAGTGTGCATATCATGCTACAAGAACATATGTGCTTTCTTCTATTTGCATAAAGACCCACACATAATAATGAAAAGCAGCTGCTTGTCAGAGTGGGAACTGTAATGGATAGAGGATAAGGTGAATATGAATCTTTTAAGTGTATGATTGTTGCTTATTGGGCTTTGAGCTATATGAGGGTATAAATGAGAATCAAATAACTGTGATCTAAAGAGTTTCTTGGTTAAAAAAAAAATGTGCCTTATCTTTAGAAAGAGTTAGCAGGATGTGTGGATCCTAGGCCCAGTGTTGCATGGATCAGAGATGATCATCACAGTGTAGAAGGATGTTTATGATGACAGGCTACAGCATCTCCAGACATACACTGATTTATTTGAATACTTTACCTTGGATGCATGATTTGGCTACGTACTGACTCAAAGTTTGCCAGAGCATCAGTGAACCGGTTACCTTCTTTCACCGCCACCTTCATGGAAGTAATGGCATTAATTGGATGCTTTTAGCTGCTGAAAGAAAACACTCCAAATCAAATGACTTACACAACAAAGACAGCCATTATCTCACATGACATGGCAAAGTGGAGGCCAGGTGGTCCAAGGTTGGCTCAGAGCCTTGATAAGGTCATCACAACTCCAGATCCAACAAGTTCATCTTTCTGCTTTGCTTTCCTCCACATGTTGATGATGTTTCTCGTTGCGGTTTCAGGGTGGCTGCAGCAATTCCAGACAATGCATGAAGACATGATTTCATCCACATAAAAGAAAAGGGGTGTTTCTTCCTATGCATTTTTTTATTAGAATAAAACAAAAGCTTCCTAATACATCCTTCTGATTTATATTTAAATGATAATTTATATGATTATTAGTCATATTATTAATTACAATAATTTGATGCTGCTAGGGAACCAACACAGGGCCTTTGATGCTAAGCAGGCAATCTACCTCTGAGCTACATTCCAAACAAATTTGTTTGTTAAGACAACAATTATTCTATATTAATAATTCTTTGACAAAAGGAAGAATCAGGCAAATTAAGATTAAAAAACCACCTGGCACTAGGCTGGGGCTAAAGCTTGGTGGCAGAGTGCTTACCTGGCATG